CTCCTCTTCTTTCTCTGTAAAGATATTTTGTTAGTTGAGTCTTCTGTCTGTAAGTGAGGCCAAACAGTGCAGGGCTTTGTTCTCTCTTCCCTGGCCCTGGATCTCCTCCTAAGCAGCCTTATTCCTGTTCCCAGCACACTGGCCGCACTAACCCCTTGCCTGTCCTCTTGGTTCACCTTCCCTGGCTGGGCTGGGCCGGGCCTCTCTGGCCGCCCACTGGGGAGGCATCTGTTTAATCAGCAGCTGCAGGTGGAGAAAAGCAGGCTGGGCCAGGTGAGGGCTGAGCTCTAGGCCGGGACAGAGGGGCACTTCCTGGGTGCTTATCTGTTTGTCTCTCCTGGCCCACACAGTGAGTGGCCCAGGTAGCAGAGAGAGAGGAGCAGCCTGGGTATGACTGTGTCTGGGCATCTGCCGAGTCTGCCATTATTCGCGTGGGCTATTTACAGGCTTCTGGACTCACCAAAGCTTTCTTTCCCTCCAGGAGCAAGGGAGATTCTCAAATTGCTCCATAAGCAGACAAGAGAAGCCACTCAATCCCCCAACCCCCAGGCTCATCTGTTGCTGTACATCACTGCCTGAAGGCAGGAGGGCAGAGGGCCAGGTGGCCCCACTGGCGGGGATTTGTTTGAGGAAAGAAGGCTGGTGGCCTAAAGTGCAAGGTCCCTGCTCATGTGTGTAGTAGTAGTTCCAGGTGAAAGACAAGAAGGACAGAAAGCCTTGCCCCCACCCCGACATCTCTCCTCAAGACCCCCCCTGTCTAGTTACAGGGGTGACCATATCTCTAAATAATTTAAGATGTTTCTACTCCTATCCCCACTTCTAGAAAATCAGGGAGACTTGGGTACAGTGCCTCAGGATTTTATGTTCTGTCTCTCAGTGATAAGCATGGATTTATAAATGCAGATGTGGTTCGCCCTGGGGTAACATGGGCGGTGGGGGGCGGGGGGGGCACTTGTGTCTCTCTTCATAGGTAGTGCTGTCCCTCACTCCATTCCCTGTGCCCTGCGGCTCTCCAAGCCCGGAGTGTATCTCCTAATGCAGGAACTGACTCCAGACCTTGCATGGTCACAGGGAGACCTCTCACAAGCCAGCCATCATCCCTGCCCCTAGTGTGCCCTCTCCACTTATTCACTCTGTTGCATCTGGGCTGGTTTGCTCATATCTGCATTTTTTTTTTTGGAGACAGAGTCTCAAGCTGTCACCCTGGTAGAGTGCCACAGTGTCATAGCTCACAGCAACCTCAAACTCTTGGGCTTACGTAATTCTCTTGCCTCAGCCTCTCGAGTAGCTGACTATAGGCGCCTGCCACAATGCCTGGCTATTTTTTTGTTGCAGTTGTCATTGTTGTTTAGCAGGCCCAGGCTAGGTTCAAACCTGCCAGCCTTGGTGTATTTGGCCTGTGCCCTACTCACTGAGCCTTGGGCGCCACCGTCACATCTGCATGTTGACCTGGAAATTGGCCATTGCTGTGTGGAGACCCTGTTCCCTCCACTTCAGATCCCGTTCCTGTTGCTACTGGCAGAGCCCACACTGAAACCGGCACCAAGCCCTGAAGCAGCTGTGCCTTTGCAGAGGCCACTCATAGTGAGTGAGCGAGCGGCTCAGGCCTGTGGCCAAGCAACATATGGACCAGTTCTGAGCTGGGTGCTAAGAGGCGCAGGCCACGTGTTTTGGCTGCCACCGTGGTAGGACCTCTTGGAAAACAAAGTGTAGGGGCAGGAATCTGGCTGGTTAGGTTTGTGTCTGCAGCTTCAAGTGGTTAACCTTGTGGCTATAATCTCCTTAAATCCCCTTTCTATTCAACTTGGTTCTGTAGGTTCTATTTTCATTTCTCTCTCTTGATCCTTTTAGCCACTGTCATCTGCTTCGTTTTTATTCATTCAGTAAACAACTATGACATTATGGGCCTGGACCTGGGTGAGATGCTGGGGACACCTAGGGGACTAGAGCACAGTCCCTGCCCTTCATCATAGCCCAGTGGGAAACTAGGCATGTCTTTATTTTTCCTCAGAACATTACAGAGGTGCATACCTTTTGGTTACATAGTTGTTTTGTGCATGTCAGGTCAAAGTTTTAAGTGTGTCCTTCACCCAGAATGTGTGCATTATACCCTTTAGGTGTGAATTAACCCAGCCCCTCCTCCACCCTCTCACCTACTCAATTCCCCGTGAGTTTTACCTTCCTGTGTGCACGTAAGTGTTGATCGATTAGTTCTAATTTAGCATTGAGCGCACGTGGTGTTTGTTTTTCCATTCTTGCAATACTTCACTTAGGGGAATGGTTTCCGGGTCCATCCAGGTTGTTACGAAAGATACTAGATCGCCATTTTTTTAGGGCTGAATAGTACTCCATGGCATATGAATACCACGTTGCATTCAGACGAGTCTTCTTGCTAGCACACACACAGTTAGAGGACAAGGTTCCCAATTCTTGTCTGGCTCTGCTGCCAGCTGGTTGCACACTACCTCTGTTGTGAGCCTCCAACAACAGTTATAATAATAATAATAACTTTATGCATTTGTTTGATGAGCAATGAAAAAAATAAGTAAAAAAGAAATAATAACTTTTAGCTATTATCTACTGAGCCGTTTTTATGATGTCTAGAATGTTATCTGGATTTCCTCATTTATCTTCCCCCAAATTCTACGGAGTAGATATTATTATTATTATTATTATATTGTGCCCATTTTACAAATAAGGAAACTGACAGAGGTTCTACAAGTCGGAAGTGGAGGAACCAAAATCGAAACCCAGAGTCCAGGTCCCAGCACCACACTCTCAGTCATCATGCCCCCAGCAGGGCTTGCTGGTCAGAGATCAGCATATGGCGTGATTCATCCACGAACATCATTTTCAATGACCTTGGGGGCAGCTCTTAGAGGCCTGGGCAAGCCTTTGCAAACCTCAGCTTTACAGCCCTGGCGCCAGAGGGCTGCAACTGGGAGGCAGGCAGTTATCTGGAGGAAAGTATTTCTTGACTCTCCCAGTTTGACCTCGCATCTAATCAAAGTCTGCTCCTGTCTCTGCAGGATTAGTCAGCATCTCTTAACTAGCCGGTCCTGGCCCATCCTCCCCATTCCTGCCCTCAGCCACCCCAGCACTTTTCACTCCCTTTCTTGTGTTTTTTTTTTTTTTTGAGACGGAGCCTCAAGCTATCCCCCTGGGTAGAGTGCCATGGCATCATAGCTCATAGCAACCTCCAACTCCTGGGCTCAAGCGAGTCTCCTGCCTCAGCCTCCCAAGTAGCTGGGACTACAGGTGCCTGCCACAAGGCCTGGCCATTTTTTGGTTGCAGCCATCATTGTTGTTTGGCGGCCCCGGGCTGGGGATTCGAACCCACCACCTTAGGTGTATGTGGCTGGCGCCTTAGCTGCTTAAGCCACAGGCGCTGAGCCCCTTGTGTTGTTTTAATGCTGGGTGGATTTTGGAGGGAGCCCTTAAGAGCTGGTATTACAATTCAGGTCTGGGCAACATACTGGGCTTGGAGGCTCAGCACCCCATGGGATCTTGGTATGGTCACAGGGGACAGCAACACAATGAGATCCTAGTGAGAAAAATAAGAAAGGTGCACTTCCACATGTGAAAGCAAGTAATTTTGGATGACAAAAAAACAGATATCAAGCTGGGCGTGGAGGCTCATGACTATAATTCTAGCACTCTGGGAGGCTGAGGTGGGAGGATTGCTTGAGCTCAGAAGTTCCAAACCAGCCCAAGCAAAATAAGACCCTGTCTCTACCAAAAAAATTTAGAAAAATTAGCTGGGCATTTGGCAGGCACCTATACTCAGGAGGCTGAGGCAGGAGGATCACTTGAGCCCAAGAGTTTGAGGTTGCCGTAAGCTAGGCTGGTACCTCAGCACTCTAGCCTGGGCAATAAGTATGAGACTCATGAAACTCTGTCTCAAAAAAAAAAAAAAAAACCCACAAAAAAACACCTTTCCAAAGAGGTTCTAAGACACAGTATGTGTGGTAGTTATATGATGAAAATACCAGGAGAGGGAGGAAAGTGGCATCTGGCCTTCTGTGTTTGAGAAAGCAGCTATACCTACCAGAGGCAAGGAGGCTCACTCAGTCTTCCCAAACTGACAGAGGAGAACCAGGGTGAGATCAGCAGCTTGTCCTTCCCAAGTGGTCTAGGTCTCTCTATGCTGGCTATAGTCTGTTCCCATGGACAGAGGTGCCAAAAAAGTTCTAGCCAGCCTAGGGTTCCACAGCCAAGGCTGAGTCCTGAGTTCTACTGTTTTTGGGTGTAAGATTAGAATGGGAATCATAACCTCGGGCTCATCGTTGCTTCAAGGGACAAATGAAATCCCTGAAATTGTAGACAAGATTTTGTGTGCATTTCTGGAGAACAGCTTTCTTTTTTGGATTTTCCAAAGGGCCCATCCTCCCACAAAAGTTAAGAACCTCTGCATTTTTGTTCCAGGCAGCTTGGAACCAAATGGACATCCAAGCCACCTGTGGGGTGGCCTAACCTTCAAGGGGCTCAGAGCCAACCCTGGCATTCCCAGTGGGGTGACCCTGAATGTGCACCTGCCCCTCTGGCCTTTGAGAATCTCCACCAGGACCTTGAGGTCAGGTTTCCCTCCCTTTCCACACAGAGAACATCACCAATGGCACAGTGGGGGGCACAGCAGAGCCGGAACCCGAGGAGGTGACCTGGATAAATAACTGGCTCACCTGCCAGGCCCAGGATGAGATGCTAAATTTGGCCTTCACCGTGGGCTCCTTTCTGCTCAGCGCCATCACCTTGCCCCTGGGCATCGTCATGGACAAGTATGGCCCAAGGAAACTCAGGCTGCTGGGCAGGTCAGTGCGATTCCTCGGACATCAGGGGGTGGGCAGGTGGGCCTCCTGGGCTGAGTTCCCTGATGTACAGAATCCTGGTGCCTGCTGTCAGCTCCCTAAATGCCTGCCTGGAGTGGGGTTCCTACCCCATTTGCCACGAAATCAGTAGTTAATGTGATCCTTACTATGTACCAATACTATGTGGAGAAAGCATAGGACCTCATGCTGACCTGGGAGGATCTGGAGTTGGTTGTCATTGCAGGCACTGGTTTCTAAAGTCTGTTTGACCTCATACCTCCACTAGAAAAGAGATTTTCAACATGTATCTTCAATATAAACAAATGGAATTGTGAATGATACATACATATGCCATTTTTAATGTTTTATGTGCTATATGATACATAACAAAAATATAAATGAAAATCGATGAAATTAAAAATGATAACATGTTGGCAGCACCCATAGCTCAGTGGGTAAGACGCCAGCCACATATGCCCAGGCTCCCAGGTTCGAACCCAGCCCAGACCAGCTAAAGCACCATTCACAACTGCAACAAAAAATAAATAGCCGGGTGTTGTGGTGGGCACCTGTAGTCCCAGCTACTTGGGAGGCTGAGGCAAGAGAATCGCTTAAGCCTAAGAGTTTGAGGTTGCTATAAGCTGTGATGCCACAGTACTCTACTGAGGGTGACAGCTTGAGACTCTGTCTCAAAAAAAAAAAAATGATTAACATAGAAGTCTGAATATATTGGCATCCTCATGAATCATCCTGTGCACACCTCCTCCCCCCTGGGGGTGTGTCCCTGGGTCTATAAAGCTCTAGACTTAGCTAAGCACATTGACTCAATGCCTTCAATCCCAGCATTTTGGAAGGCCAAGGCAAGAAGATCACTTGAGCCCAGGAGTTCGAGCTTAAGTGAGAGCAAGAACCCATCTCTATCAAAAATAAGAAAAATTAGCCAGGCCCTGTGGCAGTTACTCATACTTGTAGTTCCAGTTACTCAGAGGCTAAGACAGGAGGATTGCTTGAGCCCAGGAGTTTGAGGTTGCTGTGAACTGTGATTGTTCCATTGAACTCTAGCCTGGGTGAAAGAGTGAGACCCTATCTCTTAAAACAAAACACCCCCCCACCCGAAAAAAACCAAAAAAGCTCTACTGTCAAACTTAGGGTCAATTCTGTAGGCTACTATTCCCCTCAGCCCAGTTCCCAGTGGGAATGGTCACCTTGCCAGGCAGTGGTTTGCAGTGAGTGAAATCTGTGCCGGGTGCCTGTGAAGGGAGTGGGTGAAGGATCCATTCCATTTACTCTTCAGAGCTGAAGAGTCCTTGGTTCCCAGGACAGAGCCAAGTGGAGGGAATTTGGGAGTAGCCCAGTGGGTTCTATCTGGCTAAGTGGGTATAGGAACCCGAGGAATGAGTGGTTCCCTTTCTTGCTTCAGAGCCTTGGCTCTTTCTGGTCTGGAGGTGGGGTGGGGGGAGAGGGCAGTACAGTATGTTTACAAGGTCTAGCTTTGGGGCTTAATTTCCAGTTTAACCACTTACTAGGCAAAAGATCTTGGAGAAATTAGTTTTAGCTTTAGTTTTATGAGATTTTTTTTTTTTTTTGAGACAGATTATCGCTTTGTTGCCCTAGTAGAGTGCTATGGCATCACAGCTCACAGTAACCTCAAACTCTTGGGCTCAAGTGATTCTCTTGTCACAGCCTCCTAAGTAGCTGGGACTACAGGCACCCACCACAATGCCCAGCTATTTTTAGAGATGGGGTCTTGCTCTGGCTCAGGATGATCTCGAACCTGTGAGCTCAGGCAATCCACCCGCCTTGGCCTCCCAGAGTGCTAGGATTATAGATATGAGCCACTGCACCCGGCCTGAAATTTATTTTTCTCATCAGTAAATTGGGGCCAGTATTCTTCTCTATTTAATTATTATTTTTGTGTTCTACCAAAATATGAACAACTGTTAAATTAAATAATGCATGTAAATGTTCTGAAAATGATAACAGCATGAACCACAGCAATCAATAACATAGTAATAATAAATCATGTGCTACTTCTGCTTTGTTTTAGTGCCTGCTTTGCTGTCTCCTGCTTGTTGATTGCATATGGAGCGAGTAACCCCAACTGTGAGTGTACTTTTCCTCCCTTCTTTTGTTAAGAACTGGGGAGAGATTGCTCAGGGGTGCTCTCCTGCTCTTGGATGTTATACTAGGCCTGGTGCTTGCTGTTCAAGTTAGAAGGGACACCTAATAACCTGAGTGAGAGGCCTTCACTCAGTTATTGACCTGAAATGGATGGCGGGGTCAGAGAGCAGCTGCCCCAGATAGAACTCTGAGAGAAGCTTCCCAGGATGTGTGAAACTCCCATCGCCAAAGCAAGTCAGTCCCTGATGGCCTCATTGATGCCAACCTGAGAGACGAGCTCTAAGAAAGATGCCAATGCTGGGCTCAGTGGCTCACACCTGTAATTCCTAGCACTCTGGGGGACCAAGGTGGATGGATTACTTGAGTTCAGGAGTTTGAGATCAGCCTGAGCAAAAGCAAGAACCCCTGTCTACTAAATAAACTAGAAAAAAATTAGGCATTGTGGGGGGTGCCTGTAGTCCCAGCTACAGGGAGGCTGAGGCAAGAGGATTGCTTGAACCCAAGAATTCTGTCTCCAAAAAAAAAAAAAGAAAAGAGGATAGGCATGATGGCTCACGCCGGTAATCCTAGCACTCTGGGAGACCAAGATGGGAGGATTGCTTGAGCTTGGGAGTTCGAGACTGGCCTAAGCAAGAGTGAGACCTTGTCTGTACTGAAAATAGAAAAATTAGCTAGGCACGATGGCACGTGCCTGTTGTCCCAGCTACTTGGAGGCTGAGACAAGGGGATTGCTCAAGCCCAAGATCTATGATGTCGCCATAGCACTCCACCCCAGGCAACAGAGTGACACTCTTTCTCAAAAAAAAAAAAAGGAAGAAAGAAAAAATTAGAAAGAACCAGGCCAGCTGCAGGCACCTGGGCATGATCCTCAGTGTGTTACAGAAGTTGTTAGCTGAGTCCTCTCAAGATAACCCAAGCCAGTATTTTAAGGATGGATTGGAAGCCCCTTAATCCACCACCCTGTACAGGTAGAGCTATTGCTTCAAGGACTTTTAGAACAGACACTAAAATCTTAGGCAGGCTCATCTACTGATTTACAGGAACCTTTATTTTTAGTTTCAACAAAGCTTCTTGCTTGGTGCTAATGTTAACAGAGACAGGAGGATGGATCTGGACCTTTTGCAAGAGCCCGAACTCTGTGAAATGGGCAGAGGAGGGTGAGGAAGAGGCTCTTCCAGCTCCCCAGGTGTCAAGCAGTCCCTCCCCCACCCCGAGGGCTCATCATTCATTCTGTCTGCTCTTATGGAGTGCCTGCACCATGCAGGCACGGGGCCAGGCCTGGCCTCCCTGCAGCCCAGCTGTAGTTCCCACTTAGGAGCTTTCTGTTTCTCTACAGCTCTCTCGGTTCTCATCTTCATTGCCCTGTCTCTGAATGGCTTTGGTGGGATGTGCATGACCTTTACCTCATTAACAGTAAGTATTGATTTTTTTTTTTTAAGATCTCTATTTTAGTAATCTGCTTCTGAATTTGAGGCAGTTTCCCTTGGTTTCTTTTTCCTTGGCTTCTATTTGTCTGCATATACCTGGACATCCCAAGTAGTAGCCAGGCTGCTGGTAAAGTACCTTGCAGTACAGCCAGTGGTAGGCAGCAGGGCATGGCTCTCAGGGTGACCTAGTTCCTGCCTTAGGACCCCGGCTTTGGAGCTGAGGAAGCAGCTCAGTGGCCAGGGAAGACCGCACCAGGGAGACAGAAAGCTGCCACCCACTTCTTTGCTTATTTTCCGTGGCAGTTGTCATCAGGATCTCCAGGAGCTTTGGTTAACAGTGCAGCCTAAAAACAAACCTTTGGAGTCACCCAGCCCCAACCATTAGCTTTGTCTAGAACTGATTGAAAAACTCAGAGGACCACTTGTGGGGCCTTGCTTCTTGGTTGCCTAAATGCCGGGATACGGACAGCCCTCTGGGGAGGGAGATGTTTCCTCAGGACACTGAGCACCCTCTTATTTGGAGCATCAGGATTTCACAAAATATCCTTCTTTTTGAGATAGGAGAGGCTGAAGAAAAGTACAGGTTGAAAGAAAGAAAGAAAATTAAAAGAATCACAAAGTTTCCTGCCAAGAAGGGAGCTCTCTGAGGCTTGTCTGGTCAGGCAAAGGTGCCATTCAGAGTTGGCCATTGGGAAAGAAGTGAGAATAGTAGGCTCTTCAGAGAGACTTCTGTCCGACAGGGAAATCTTGCCTGCCTCAGTTTACCTGTGAAAAAGGACAAAGTTTAAAGGCGTTATACCTCCTGGACTATTTGCAGTGCACTCTGGTCTTTGATGTCTCTTTCCGATAAGGAGTCAGGAGTCAGGAATCAGGAGTCGCACTGTTGCAAGGGTCAGGACCTTGTTTAGCTTTGCCCGCAGGTCTGGGGACTTCTGTTCCTCTTCTAAGAAGTGCTAGCACCTCCACAACACGCCGATAGTCATTGAGCCAGAGGCCAGGACCAGTGTCTTTTCTGTTCACTTTTCCTACACTTTGCCTTGTTAGCTTTGTCCTGGTGGAAGGGATTAATTGTCTGGGTCTAGATCTATGGAAATGGAAAGTTCAGAGGCATCTATGTTAGGTGAGAAGAGCATGGCTCATGCTGGTATGTCTGGTATGTTCAAGGGGTGGGTGTCCCCAGGGTGTGGACGACACACATAAATCTGGGAATTCCAGTTGATTTGCTTCTGCTGGTGCCAGGGAGATTTAGTTCACATTCTTTTGGGCCATTTATTTTTATTTATTTTTATTTTTATTTTTTTTATAGATATAGAGTCTCACTTTATCTCCCTCAGTAGAGTGCTGTGGCATCACACAGCTCACAGCAACCTCCAAATCCTGGGCTTAGGAAATTCTCTTGCCTCAGTCTCCCAGTAGCTGGGACTACAGGAGCCTGTCACAATGCCTGGCTACTTTTTTGTTACATTTTGGCCAGGGCCGGGTTTGAACCCACCACCCTTAGTATAAGGGACCCACACCCTGCCCACTGAGCCATAGGCGCCACCCCAAATTTTCTTGTTTCTTTTCTTTTTTGCAGGTTTTTTTGGCCATGGCCGGGCTCAAACCTGCCACCTCTGGTATACAGGGCGGCACCCTACTCCTTGAGCCACAGGCACCGCCCTATTTTTATTTATTTTTTTAACCAGGTAGATTTAAAAGAAAAATGGATACATTTTCCCTCTCTCAAATTCCCAGGGAAAACAAATTTCAAAACTGTGAAAAATATGTTCAAACGGTCAAAAGTACACAAATTCTATTAAGTTGTGTAAATTGGTAAACAGGGAGTTGTGGTTCTGTTTGTTCTTTACAGCGTGAAAACCACCAACGATTTCATCATGACGAAAAATAAAAGCCTGATATCACTCTCATTATTTTAGTCATGCTATGCAGGTCTGAATTTCAGGATAAAAGGAAAACATCATCCTTGAACTTGAGGAGCTTATGCTCTAAAAATGCAGAAAAATGCTTTGTTGTATTATAAACCTAAGCTAAATGGGTAAAACCATCCAACTGCGAATCCCCTTTAAGATTAGCTTTTAAAATGAACTGTGCAATTGTTGCCTAGCAAGAAACTTTTAAGACAGACTAAGAAGCCTGCAAGGCTTCTTTGTCTTGTCTTGTCTTTTTTTTTAAATTGGGTAGTGCTCAGAATCAGAGATTCAGAATGTTTCTTTTCTTATTTTTTGTGATTATAAAATAAAACCATTTTTGTTGTCACTATTCAACATTGGAGAATATAAACCGTACACTAAAACCTACTGTTATCAGGTCAGAACCCTACTGTTATATATTTATATATATAAACCTACTGTTATGTATTTCTTCAGTCTATTTTTTTAATCTGCATATGGCAATGTTTTTCTTTTTTCTTTTTATTTTTTTGGAGATAGAGTCTCACTTTATCACCCTTGGTAGAGTGCTGTGGCATCAAATCTCACAGCAACCTCAAATTCTTGGGCTTAAGTGATTCTCCGGCCTCAGCCTCCCAAGTAGCTGGGATTACAGACACCTGCCACAACTCCCAGCTACTTTTAGTGACAAGGTCTTGCTCTTGCTCAGGGTGGCCTTGAACTCCTGAGCTCAAGCAATCCATCCACCTGGGCCTCCTAGTGTGCTAGGATTACTGGCATGAGCCACTGCACCCAGTCTTGTTTTTCTTTTTTTAAAAAGAACTGTTAAAACTTGCCTATTTCATTTAATGTTATCTTTTACGTCTTTTCCTATCAGTACTTAGAGATCTGCCTTATTTATTTTAAACTCTAGAGATGTATCTCATTATTAAACAGTTCCACAGTATTCTTTAATATAGATGTGCCATAATTTATTCAACCAATTTCCTACTAATGGACATTTGGGTTGGTTTCCAATTTTTACAATTTATGAATGCTGCTGCAATGAACATCCCTGTACATGTATTTCTGCAAAATGAATTCCTGGAAGTGGAATTGCTAGGCTACAAGATGAGCATGTTTTAAAATTTAAAATGTACTGTTATCTGGTCTAGAAGGGTTACTTGCTGATACAAGCTTAGCAGCATGTCAGAGGGTGCCTTTTTCTCCCTACCTCCATTAACACCATATCACTCCCCTTTTAAATATTAGCCAGCCTGATCTGGTGAAAAATGACATACCATGATTTTTAAAATTTCTCTAATTATTAGTGAGAGAGAGCATTGTTTAACCTCTTTAGGGGTCATTTGTGTTTCTTCTGTGAATTGCTTCTTTGTGTCATTTGTCTGTTTTTCTGCAGGGTTCTTTATTTATTTATTTATTTTTAAGGATTTGGAAGAGCTCTTTCAAATATCAAAAAACTATTTCTGTTTTCGAGTGAGCAAAGGATCTGCCTCTGGGGCTGTTAGGTCTCTGTATATTCCATGAATAGACTCCAGGAGGTCGCCCACCTCCTTGCAAACAGGTCATGTATATGGCATTTTGGGGGGAGGATCTATTGCTTTCATCAGCCTCCAAGGGGTCAGCATAAAGGCAAAAAAACATGGCAGGCTGAGTACAGGGGCTTATACCTGTAATCCTAGCACGCTGGAAGGCCAAGGGGAGAGGATTGCCTGAGCTCAGGATTTCGAGACTAGCCAAAGCAACGGTGAGACCCCGGGAGGAGGGAGGGCAATTGGCAGGATCTCACTTATGTGCACAATGTGAGGCTGTTCAGCCTGCCCCCTAGGTGAAGGGCTCAACTACAATTTGAACTTTACCTTAGAATTGAAAACAATGTAACCTACGCATTTGTACCCTCTTATTAATTTGAAATTATAAAAAAAAGAGGGAGACCCCATTTCTACTAAAAATAGAATACAACAGGCAGGGCTTAGTGGCCCATACCTGCAGTCCCAGCTACTCAGGATGCTGAGGCAGGATTGCTCAAACCTAGGAGTTGGAAGTTGTTGTGAACTATGATATCATGGTACCTACTCAGGGCGACAGTAGGATGCTATCTCAAAAATAAATAAATAAATATAGTTAAAAACATGTGGCAAGAGCATATTTATTAGCTCCTTGCTCTCCCACTGGGAGGCAAAAGGCTACACAGGCCAGATAGTGACCAGCCAAGAGAATCCCCCAATCATCGTTTAAAGTGTTTGGTTCCCAGGGATCTGTCTAAGAGAGTTTGGTGACTTGTCCTTCATGGCCCCATTCTTAGACCTAGAGCGGGGATCAGCAAACCACTACCCCTAAGCTGGTCTTGAACTCCTGGGCTCAAGTCTTCCTCTGCCTCAACCTCCTGAGTAGCTGGGACTACCAGCATACTACCTGTTTTAGTAAATAAATTTTTTTCAGAGCACTATAATCAATGCCCATTTGCTTATGTATTATCCATGGGTGGTTTTCTGGTATAACAGCAGACTTAAGTAGGTGTGCCAGAGATCATATGGCTTGCAAAGCCTAAAATATGTACTATCTGGCCTTCCCTGGAAAAAAATCACCAGTCCTTGTCCTAGAGACTCCAAGAAGCTGCACAGTCACCATTCCCTTCTGGGCTCCCACTCCACAGCCCCTCCAAGTGCACAGGCCAACAGCTCTTTAATGTACTTCCCAAGTCATCTCTTTCCCGCTAACACCCTGTGCCTGGAGGGGTCTCCTTGGATATTCTCGTCTTGTGAGGCTTCTGATGAGAGCACTAGCACCTACTCTTGAGAACAGACTCTGAAACAAGAATGAGATGCAGGTCAGCAAGGACAGGGCCAGAGCAGTTGGGCAATGTTCTTGGGCTGACCAGAGTTTCTGATGAGCAGAGCTAAATCTCCTTCTGACACAGCCCAGGCCTTTAAAAAGCAGAACTTTCGGAGTCGCAGAGCAAGTAGCACAATGGCACTTTCTGTTTGTGTCTCCCACCCATGTTCTAATTTTGGGGACAAAGGAGTCTTCAGGGTTGCCTTTAGGAGTTTCATAAATCTGATCTCCTGCCACTGCTTTGGGGCTAAGGATAATTGCT